TGTATTAGTTCCCATCTACAACAGGAGAAAGCTTCTCTAATGAGTGAGACACTGATCTATGGGTATAACAGAATACCACTGGGAGTCATTTTATCATTGTGTTCCCTTAGCAGAATGATAGTATTTGGTTTTCCCCTAGGTTCATGGGCTGTGCTGTATCAGGTTCTTGGCCACCTGATTGATATGAGGCATGAGTTCTAGCTCATGGAGTGGGCCTTAACTACAACCAGATAGTGGTTGGTTACGCCCATGACTTTTGTGCCACTATTGCACAAGCATATCGTGCAGGCAGGTCATCACTGTTGATTAAAGGGTTGGTGGCTAGATTAGAATGTCACTGACGCTTTACGTTCATTTTTTTTTTCATTTCCAAAGTCAATGTTTCAAAAGTCATCAGCCTACCTAACAATACTATAGCACCGGAATTAGTAAGCACAAAACCGAAAGCTGTATTCTAAATTTACTGGACTGCATATGGCTGTGAAGAGAGAGAGGTGCATTCTGACTGAAGGGACAGTTGCTGATCAGTTCCGTCTGGTCCGTGAAGTCATCGGTAGTGGCCCACCAGCTCTGGGCACCTTGATTCAATAAACAACTCTTTAGTGTCATATACAATGTATTCTGTATCTGCATAGTCTTCCTCGGTACTCTGGGTCCCTAATAAGGCGGGCAGTGCATAATAACCTCATTGCTACACAATGTTGCTTTTCCTGTTTTAACCACACATTACACCTTGACTCTACTGATGAGTTCATAGTAACAATGGGGAGTTCTTTTTCCTTCTACACCAAGCTGTGCCCCCTCCACTGTGGCTCCGTCATCCACTACACCACCTGTCCTGTCAGATTAACCTAATCGCCCCCGTGCTTTCACTCCCGGCCCTTTAAGATAGTCCCAGCAGAAGGATCCATTCAAAATACAGGCTTGCTCACACCACTCTTTGACTCAGGCCGACCATATGAGGTCCTCCAAAGTCCTGGGCAGCTCCTGACCCCACTCCGTGGCATTCTCTTCGTTGACCATTCTCCAGACTCATCTTTTAGAAGAATCTAGACCACACCAGGCATACACCACTCTAATCGCCACTTCAAGTATGGCTCAGACCTCGGTTGAAACGCCCTCGTAAGAGAAAGGCTCCCTGTGCCATTGTATCTAAAATAACAGCCCTGCACAGCCACAGCCTTCAGTTCTCCAATCTCTTTACTGTGTTATTCTTTCCTCAGAGAATTTTCATGTTATACTGTTGGTTAGTGGGCCCAATGGCTACCCTTCACATTAGAATGTAAACTTGGTGAGTTTGGGCCCTTTATGAGTCTCGTGCCCACTATTGCATCACCAAAGCAGTCCCTGGATGGGACAAACCCTCAGCATGAAGCTAATCTGAAGGAGATAATAAAGTGCGTGTTCTTTTCCCAACTCCGGATGACTGTTAGGAACACAGAAGCCCACGGCACTGTGCTAGCTCAGGTGTGCCAACCGCAAGTTAACAGTACAGAGATGAAAGGGAGAGAAAGCAAAGACAGTGCATGTTGACGATTGGAACAGCTTTGTCAACACGATTCCCTGAGGCCCGCACTCGGGCAGGTGTGATACTTCCTTGCCAGCTAAATAAGCCTCCAGTCATCCGCTTGTTTGCAGAAGATAACCCAGGTCCATACTGATCCAGTTATTCATCCAAGAGAGGCTGCAAGGCTGTGGGACAGTTTGGATTCACAATGACACAAAGTCGTCCAGGGACCAGGTCACTTCCCTCTTTGGGGGGAGAGGGTGCTTTTGAGTGTGTGTGTAAGTGTGTGTGTGTGTATGTATGTGTGTGTGTGTGAATATAGACACATGCACATACTACTGCTTGCACGTGGAAGGTGGGAACAAGCTCTGATGTCATCTTGTTTGAGATGGAGGTCTCCTTATTACTTGCTGATTAATCAGACTTCAGGGATTCTCTAGTCTCTGTCCCCCAGCTTCTGGCATTCCACGTGTGCACTGTTGCACCTGGCTAAGCACTTTACCTACTGAACCTTCTCCCTAGTCCACTTCTCTCCTCTCAGTCCTCCTCATTTTACCTTTCATGGAATGTTCTTCACATCTGAATCAGCGATACTGTTTCAACAGCCTCCCCTGCAGGAAAGGGGAAACAGGGGGAGTTGGAAACAGGCAGCGTCCTTTTAGGAGGTGATAGAAAAGCTCCATGTAGCGTTTGTATATAGTCTGACTTAGTCATGTAAACATGGGAAGAAGGAAACAAGGCTACAAACGTGAGACTAGGTGAGTGTCCAACGTGTACTGTTAAACTCTAAACTCCGTGTAGGGGAAATTACCCTGGAAAGGAGGAGGGGTGAATACTGGGGGACAGTTATTGGTCTTTACTAACTGAATAGTTAAATGCCATGTGGGCACCTCTCTATGCCCACAACACTATTTGAAGGCAGTAGACTAGGCAGAAAGGCAAGCTCCAGGTTTATGTGTTATATGACAGGCACAAAGCAGATTCTATAACCCATAATCCAGACACAAACTTAAAAAAAAAAAAGGAGTTCAAAGTTGAGAAATTAGAAATCTCAAAAATTAGGTTTCTATGAGAGGCAGGATGGGAGCAGAAAGGGATGATTCTGGATGAAGTCAAAGGATAACCATGAGGGCTAACCACGCGGTCTGATTCAGCTTCAATGTAAAGGAGCTTGTGGGAAGGGCTGAAGGCTCATTTCTTCCAGGTGTGAACAGTGACAAGAGTGTGTCATGGGCCACTAATACAGCCAGAACTGAGCACACAAAGACCATCAATAACAGAGCAACTGGGAGCCGGGAGGGGATGAATTGAGGGTGAGGCCGAGGAGGATCACAAAGTTTCTCATAAAACAATTTTATAGGAAAATTTTTAAACCCTCTGGAATCACCTTGGTCAAATATTAAGCTGAATTACATATAATTAACACATATTTTCTGAATTCCTGCTATGGTTAGGTGAGTGGATCTCATTTTTTTTCACTGTATATATTTAGAAAGAAACATTTCGTCCCTTAATACTTTTCCGGAGACATATTTGGTACAAAACAGCATTCATCCAAACCATTGTCCTTCTTTTGTTCTGCATTTTAATTATTAATTTCAGAAAGAGGTCCTAAATGTATTTACTGTTTGAAAAGCACTTTCTCAGACCATGACAGACATGGAAAGAGTACAGAATGTGAGCTATCTAAATCTTACAGATTGCATCTGTCAAGGGAAGAAAGAACAGACGCAAGCCACCACAATACAAAAGAGTGGAGTCATGGGCCTGGAAAGGACTCGAGATGACATCTTGTCTGAACATTTCATGTTGTTAGTGAAATGCAGAAGAACAGGGATATTTGCTGACTTAACAGTTCAAAGCACATTAGTACATACATAAGAGCGATAGGCAAAGCTCTTTTGAGAAAGCCCAAATCTCTTGTGCTATTAAATTCCTTCTTAAAATCAGAATTACAAATAACGTAGTATATATGATTTCATTGGACAAATGCTTATTGCTTTTTTGTTAGTGTTATTATTTCTGTGTTGGTGTTATTATTGCTGCTTTTGTTGGTTTGGGATTTGGGACAGGATCTTGTTTAGTCCAGCCTGGGAGGAAACTTGAGATCCTCCTGCCTCTGCCTCCAAAATACTAACATTCATGCCTGAACCATCATACCTGGCTTTAATGTGGTTTTTTGTTGGTGTGTGTGTGTGTGTGTGTGTGTGTGTGTGTGTGAGAGAGAGAGAGAGAGAGAGAGAGAGAGAGAGAGAGAGAGAGAGAGAAGTACCAGAGGAGACCAGGAGAGTGTGTCCATCTCCTGCATCTATTTATACTCCATATGGGTATGGGGTACTGAACTCAGGACCTATAGATACTTGTAATCCTAGTACTATTTATTCTACTCATAAGATAATTGCATTATTTACTTAAATATCTATGGCCTAATGTCGGCAGCATGGACTAGCAAGCGGGTGCATACTTAAAGTCATATGGTGACTGGCTTATTTCAGTCATGTCATTAGCTCTCCATGATTGAATTGTCTCCCTTTGAACACAATATCAAGATGATGTATTTGAGGCCATCAGACCCTTCAGGAAAAGGGTTCTAGTCAGGTGAACCAACTCTACCCTTGCCCCTAACTTCCGTCTTCATCAATGAAGGATGAGTCTGTCTTAGCTTAGAGGTGTTCTGGCCAAGGATGTGATGAAGTCCTCAGGAGATGCTGTGGTCCTCTGACTCATTCTTGTTCTAGGTTCTTCTGCTTGATAGATAGTACCACCATACATCTCGGGCTATGGCTTTGATGTGGCAGCTAAATTAGTACAGAACCAAATGCTGGGGCTCCATACCTTGTTAACCTATTCACATATAAAAAAATATTGTAAAGACACAATGTTTCAAATGTTACTAGGAAAAGATGTCAAAAGTTGCCACAAGGTCATTTATGTTAATATATAACATAAGTTCTGTGCTTCTGCTTAAGGTATTATTTAATTAGAGCATGTTAAATTAAGCTTCTCTATCTTTTCTTGTGGCTTAGAGGAAAAAGTGACTCTGATGATATACATTCTTATGTTACACTAATAAAAAATGAATATATTCTTCTTTTAATTACACTGAAAATATTCTTATCTGATTATTTTATTTTAGAATGATAGTGCTAAAACTTTTGTCGCATTTGACTTCACAAGTTTGTTTCAAATTATTATGTGGTGGTAATTTTCGCTTAAAAAATTAAAAGGCAGAAATAGATACATATGTTGCAGCATCTAGTAAATAAGTTATTGTAGAGGAATTTATTTCATTTTTTTCTTAAGAAACTCTTCTGCCAACATCTTTTTTGGAAATTTAAAGTGTTTGCAATATTTAAGACAACAAGGTTCCTTAAAGTTGCTTGTGTGGTTTGAACATAGTTGTATTGCATTTTTCAACAGTGAAATGAATTCCACTTGAAGCAAGTTATGCTGATTCTTTTTCTCTCTCTCCCCTCCTCACTGAAATCCACAGACGTCTCGCTGGAAATGCTTTGATGCACATTCCCAAGGGAGCATTCACAGGCCTTCACAGTCTTAAAGTTCTGTAAGTAAATCAAGTTTGATTTTCAGGCCAAATGACTGCTAATTAATGTTCTTAAAGTTCTGTAAGTAAATCAAGTTTGATTTTCATGCCAAATGACTGCTAATTAATGTGCAATTTGGATCTTCGAGGTGACTCATTTAAGTCCCTCTCTGCCTTCACTGGCGTCGGAAAACCATGTTATACTTAGGTATATACCCTGTGTGTGACGATTCCTCTCTCCTTCTCTAACATCATATCTAAAGTTGTCTGCCTCCAAATAACCCACTTACCTATTCACACTTGCAAGATTGTTTACCCTCCCTCCCCCTGCCATGTCATGCAGTTGGGGAGCCTGTTTCTAAAGATTTTGGTCACTGTGATGCCAGCATAATGAGATCACAGCTTCAAACTTGCTTTAGATTGTTTCCTTACAATACACCGGTAAGGACTTTAACATACTAAGTTTGTGTATATCTAAGTAGATGTAGAAAACCTTGTGTACAACCTAGTAAAGTGGACAGCTGGTCTTTACAAAATGTTGGGTTAGAGATGTAACTCGATTGTGACAAGGAGCCACTTGTTTGTCCCTGCTGCCCAGAACCAAAATACTCACACAGAAACTGTATTAATTAAAACACTGCTTGGCCATTAGCTCTAACTTCTTATTGGCTAACTCTTACATCTTAATTTAACCCATCTCCATTAATCTGTGCATCACCACACGGTCGTGGCCTACCAACAAAGTTTCAGCACATCTATCTCCAGTGGCGGATCCATAGCGGTCCCTGACTCTGCCTTCTTCCTCCAGAATTCAGTCCAGTTTTCCCCATTTACCTAAACTCTGCCCGATCAACAGGCCAAGGCAGTTTCTTTATTTTAATGCTAATCACAGCACACAGAAGGGACTCCCACATCACTCAATGGCACATTCGCCAGCTATACCCAAAGCTCTGGATTCTACCCAGGGGAGAGAGTGGAGAAGGAGAGTTAAATGAGTTATTTATTTAAATAAATAAGTTTTCTATGCATCCATCGTCCAACTTCCATATCTGTTGTCATAAAATTCCGTTCTACTGAATACTGTCTTAGTTAGGGTTACTATTCCTGTACTAAAACACTATGACCCAAAGCAACTTGGGGAGGAAAGGGTTTATTTGGCTTTCATATCCTAAATCACAGTTCACTGAGAGAAACCAAAGCAGAAACTCAAGCAGGGCAGGAACCTGGAGGCACGATACTGAGACCATGGAAGGGTGCTGCTTACTGGCTTGCTCTTCACGGCTTGCTCAGTCTGCTTTCTTCCAGCACCCAGGACCACCATCCCAAAGGTGGCACCACCCATAATTAGCTAAGCCCTCCCATATCAATCACTGATTAAGAAAATTACTTACAGGCTTGTCTGCAGCCTGATCTTGTGGAGGTATTTTCTTAGCTGAAATTCCCTTCTCTCAGCTGACATAAAACTAGCCAGCACAAACCCCTTCTTTTTCTAGTACCCTCCACCAAATTTCGTTCCTGTGTGTTCTGACTTGGAGCATCTAAGTAGAGATTGGCTACAAGTTGCAAGCCATTCTAAATTTTACGTACAAAACAATATCTTGATTTTATTTTTTTGGCCATTGAGATAAAAGTTAAGTCCAAAAAAAAAGCATTTCATTTATTTATACCTAATGAAAGCTGCATTTCAGTAACCTAAGATAAATGTAGGTTTTAAAACATTTCATTAAATTTAATATTTTATTAAAAATTTAATTCTAGGGGAATGGGGGAGAAGGGTTAGGGGAGGTTGGAACTGGGATGTAAAATAAATAGATGAATAAAAATTTAAATTCTTTAACAGAACCATTGTTTGATCTTCTTACATGACTGGTTTAGCTTGCCTTCTTTTTGGGCCACTTATGCTATTAGCAGAAATATTTTAGTCGGTATTGCCAACCCTAATGCTAACTTATATGCATCAGCACCAGGTACAATGAATTTTTATTTCAGCGTAAACAGCAAGATATTTGAACCATTCAGAATGCATCATGAGATTCAAATTTAAATAAGATGACTAAGATGATTTCCCATGTCGAGTTATGTATGGAAAACATTTGAATGCTGTTAAATAAATTATATTGTAGGGCCAAGAGAGATGATCCAGTAGTTAAGAGCTCTTAAAGAGAACCCAGAATCTGCTCTTAAAGAGAACCCAGAATTTAATCTCAGCACCCACATGGCAGCTCACAATCACCTGCAACTCCAGCTGCAAGGGACCCATTGCCCCTTCTTTCATCCACAGTCGCCTGTAGACTTAAACATATTGACAAGCACATATTCACAAAGAATTAATTAAAAATAAATAAAATTTAAAATAATAAAAAATAAACTATGCTATAATCAACCTCTTCAATTTACTCAGCAAACTGTATATTGAGTATATGAGATAAAGTGTGTATATGTGTGTGTGTATAAATATATCTCAAACCATTGTGTTTATTTGAAATACAAGTATCTAATATGAATACAAATAAATTATATAATATGAAGTATATATGACTTATAATTATATGGAAATTTAATTTCAAATCCCTAAATTTGTAATTAAGCTTGAATACTCAAGTTTTACAAATGTTTTTTCCACCACATTATTTATATTTCCTGATTTTATCATTGTATAATTCTAATGATACTATCTTCCCATTGAGTGTTTCTTATAATGCACTCCATGTCCAGCAAATCAAAGACAAACTAAGTCTTGATCATCGGTATATCCCAGTCCTTTGAAAAGTACCTGACTACTCACAGTATATTATCAGTAAACATTTGTGGAAAGATGGTTCTGATTCAGGATGCAGAGAAAACCCAGACTCTTTAGACATCGATGTTTTCTTAATTTTGCAAGATGTAAACCCATTGTTTCAAGTTTATTTATCGAGTAACTATGGAGCAGTCAGAAAAAGAGGTCTCTGTCTGATATGGGTTTCTGACTGCAAACACATTTCATGTGCCCAGAATGGTTTTGCACATACTCTGTGCCTCGTTTTGCCTGCCCTAGATAGCACTGACCTTAGCTGACTTTTTAAATGAGTCTTAAGCTATAGTTCAGAGATGTTCAAGTCTGTTCCCAAAACATTCACACAGAAACTGTATTAATTAAATCACTGTCTGGTCCATTAGCTCTACCTTCTTATTGGCTAACTCTTATATTAATTTAATCCATCTCCATTAATCTGTGTATCACCCCAAGGCTGTGGCTCACCAGCCAAGTTTCATCACGTCTCCGATGGTGGATCCATGGCGTTTCTCTGACTCTGCCTTCTTCCTCCCAGAATTCAGTTTTGTCTTTCCCACCCACCTAAGTTCTGCCCGATCAACAGACCAAGGCAGTTTCTTTATTCATTAATCAAGAAAGGCAACACACAATCAGAAGGACCTCCCACACTATATTTTTTATAGAAAAATTGAGATGGATTAAATACTTCCTGTCAAAACCATTGAATGATTGTTTGTAGTTTTTTTTTAATTCCTAGTATTATAGGCTTTCTCATCACATATATAAGTTAAAGTATTATTTAATCAGTAGAATCATTATAAAGGCCACAAAACAAACTATGTGTGTGTTTGTGTGTGTGTGTGTGTGTGTGTATGTGTAAAGCTTTCTTGAAATCACTAACTTTAAATTAGCAGAAAAATAAGAAACAAAGAGAAAGGGTCACATTGGATTAAATTAGCAAAGTTTGCTGGATACATATTTCATACTACCTCCTTTTAACCAACCAGGGCACAACCATGCACAGGTCATGTTGTAGCAATTATTCAATGGTTTATTATTGGGAATGGTTTGTTGCTTTTAAAATCTCATTCTTCCACTGCCTAACAAGGTTTACTTCCCAATTTTGAAGAAAGCAGGTTTGTTGTAACATGAGGGCTGACTTGTTGGGGTTTCTGTCCCTCCCGGTACCCCAACAAGCCGGCAAGCCCCAAAGAAAATCACACAGAGATCTCCATAAGTTATGAAACTGATTGGCCCATTAGCTCAGGCTACTTATTAGCTCTTATGGCTTAAATTAACCCATTATTCTTATCTATGTTAGCCACATGGCTCAGTACCTTTCTCAGCATGGCAGCTCACATCTTGTTTCTTTGGTAGTCTGGACAGAACTGCAGAGGGAGCTTCGTGCTTCCCAGAATACTCCTGTTATCATCGCCCCACCTCTACTTCCTGTCTGGTTGACCCACCTATATTTACTGCCTGACCAATCAGCATTTATTTAAAACATGATTGACAGAATACAGACAATTCTCCCACACCAGTTTGTGACTGCTCATTTTTCCCAGTCATCCTTGAATCCCCATTTCCTATGGAGGGATGGAATCTCCAGGGCCTTTCAAAGTACTGGAGAAGGAATACTGGCCTCAATCTGCTCACACAGGATACATGTTATTATGACACTTCAAGTTTGTCTTGTCCTAAGGCATAAGAAATGTGTTTGACGTATCCTGAGGATACCCACGCCCATATGTGAGTTTCACAGTTCCTCACCTGAACTGCAACCTTTGGTGACATCTTGTTTGTATAAATAAAAATGTGGCCACAGAGATAATATAAAGGTCATGTTTAAAGATAATATAAAAGTCACGGTTTGCTTAAGGTGGATGAGTAGAGATTATGGTAAAACAACAGAAAAGTACTAATGATCCAGTTAACTAAAATAAAGAACAAAGATGACATCAGCGTTTGTTGGCTAGTGCTCTCTTACATATGGAATCTCATTGTGATCTCTTACCTCTAACATTTAAGATTATTGTCCCTGAACACATTGATCCTAAGATAAATAGGCTGTGTGGTTCTGTACTACAAAACACTTAACCCAATGAAATGTTGCATGAAACAATCCTCAACAAAAATTCATTCTCTGATATAAGCCCTTCAGTCAAGGAAAGGGGCCACCCTCCTCCCAAATGCCCCCAAACCAAAACCGTAAAGTGACAGGCAAAGGTAAGTAGAGAAAAGCCACAGAGAGCCATCATTGCCCTGTCCAATGCTGACCTACAATCCAGCATTGGTAGATGACGTAATGTCTATACCTAGGACACTTCGGCAGAAAGAACATCTGAGAATTAGGTCATTAGCTGTCACTTCAACAAATTGACACAGTTGTCCTCCTCCCTGCCCTGCCCTGCTTCATCTTTTCGGCTCTTACTTAGCCTTGCTAACCAAAAAGTCAACGAGAAAGAAAAAGAAAGTATAAGCAAAGTTGTATACTTCGAGAAGCCTGAAGATGCTGTATGAAATAATGACTATTTTAAATATCCTCAGGAAAGAAACAAAAAAAAATATCAAAATCACACCTTGTCTCTAATAAAAAGCAGTCCATGTTCTTTGTGTTCCCTTATGCAAATAATAAAATGCAGTTATATGTCTACACCCTCTACGTGGGACATGTTCGACTCTGTTCATATTCCAAGTATTCAGTAAGAAGGGTTTGCAAAATAAATCAAAGGCCATGTGCGAGTTTTCTCTTGTAGTTGCACTCTACAGTATAAACCCTTAGCTGTTTTGTCTCCCATTAAAATATCTCAAACAAAAGCAGAAATTTCTGATTAACTACTTAGGAGCATAAAATAACCTGCTCTTGTTCTCTCATTCAAAGGTAACTAAACTTAATTGGTAATTGGGTTTTTAGGATTTATTTTTTTTCTTCATATTTTTATTTTTAAAATTACTTTTCATTTTACATGCAAATCCCAGTTCCCTCTCCCTCCTCTTCTCCTGACCCCCCACATCCCCTTTCTGATCCTCCAGCCACTCCTCAGAGGGGATAAAGTCTGGGATACCAACTTGAGGCAGGACCAAGCCCCTTCCCCAACATATCAAGGCTGAGCAAGGTATCCCACCATAGGGAATGGGCTTTTAAGAGACAGTTCATGAACCTGGGATAGGTCCTGGGGTGACTGCCAGTCCCACACACACAATAGATCAAGCCACATTAACTGTCACCCACATTCAGTGGATGTAGTTCAGTTCCATGCAGGTTCCCCAGCTGTCAGCCCATTGTCCATGGGCTCCCACTAGCTCAAGTCAACCATCTCTGTGGTTTTCCCCATCATTCTCTTGCTCTGCCTTGTTCATATGATCCCTCCTCCATCTCTTCACCTGATCTCCAGGAGTTCAGCCCAGTGCTGGTTGTGGGTCACGAAGTTCTAGCTAGAACCAAAAGACAACAGAAGGAGATCAAGGGACTACAAATTGGAAAGGGAGAAGTCAAACTTTCACTATTTGCAGATGATATGATGTGATGAGTGACCCCCAAAAATTCTACCAGGGAACTCCTACAGCTGACAAACACCTTCAGTAACATGACAGGATACAAGATTAACTCAAAAACAAAAGTACATCCTTATTTATTTCTTATTGGCACTCCCTTGCGAATTTAACCTCCCTAAAACTTTGATTGGCGTTCCGATGTTTTTAAGACACCTGGAACGGTGTCTGATGCTGTTGTGTTCGGGTCGTCTCTTGTTAATTTTCTCTAATGTCTCTCTTCATTTGTTTCAATGGGCAGCATGCTGCAGAACAATCAGCTGAGACAGGTCCCCTCGGAAGCTCTGCAGAACCTGCGAAGTCTCCAATCCCTGTAAGTACACTTGTGACTACGAACTACGGATCTCAGTTTGAGAAGGAACACTTAGATGCCCTGTGGACCACTTTGTTTCGCCCCCCAGTTGATGACTTGTGTGAGCTTGAGGTCCCAAACCCTCAACTCTTGAGGTCCAAGAGTTGGAGGGTTACAGATAGATCCTTAGTCATACCTGCAATGAGAAGTTTCCTATGTGTGTCTCAGGGTCAAACCTCTACCTCCATAATCTTCTCTATATTCCCATTAATATTTGTGCTTCTAAATTCAAATCAGAAATGATGCTTAGTTTTTCACCTAGAAAACTGGATAGTAGCATCTGAAACTTTGGCATCCTTAATTTGTTTTATCTTTAAACTGTCAGGGCTGCTTTGTAATCTAATTTTGCGGAGTCAAATAAAGATGAGAGTTTTCAACTCTGCACATCTGTCAAGGACCCCCAAATTATCTAATCAAGACCTACCATGTGTTCTGAAACATGGCTACTGCACTAGCCACGGCCCGCCCACCACTGTCCACACGTAGATAATCACAAACAATCCCACAGTGCCCATATACGTCAACTCACGGACCTCACACAGACACACACCATCACACACCCGCACACACACACACACCCACACCCATGCACTCTGCAGGAGTGCCAATGTCTTTCGCTCTGAACACACACACCTTTCCATCGGGAGTTCCCCTGCCAGCACCCACATAAACAAATAAGTAATTCCTCCCATGAGGCACATCCACGCCAGCTAGATGCTTGGGAACTTGGGTTGGAAGTAACTGTTCTGGATCGCTCCTTGGCAGGTCTCTGCCTCAACTGTTGTGTTAGTGAATCACCTTCTCATCAGGACGTATGAGTGACTGCAGTACGTTGCATGGTTTCCGATACACGTGTGAGTCATGTGCTCTCTAATTATACTTATCCTGGAGGTCCTTGTCTGTCAAACAAAGCACGGCTTTCTAGTCTTGACTGATGCGGGAGATAAATGCATGCATGAGGAAAGCAAGAGAATACGGCGGGCGCTAGCCGAAAATCTTCGTAAGGAATCCATCAGTTAATAATTACATACGGTTTGCTTAATGCTTTTGACTGCGGTGACATGAGAGGAGAGGATGTGAGAGCTGAAGATGAGACCTCCGTCCTTTGATCTTGCTTTCTAATGAAAGAAAATCTGTGCTCGAGATCATTCCCGGCTTTTTATTCTAGTCAAACAAAGTAACTTCCTAGGTTTTCAGCAGCCTATAGATAAACAAGCCCACAAGGGCCCCTTTGTGGCTGGGGAGGGGCCCCCGGTGCCTTTCCAGCCCCTCCTTAATGACAGGACACTATCGCTCTGCTTTTGTTGAGCTAGCTTTACCTGAAGGGAACAAGCAGAGGGAAGCCAACTGCCTCCAGTGGGGCTGTCAGGGCATGGGGATCTCAGGGCTAAATTGAAATCGAGATAATGGCAGTGCCCAATAGGAACTCTAAACAGCTGCTAGGCAGGCTGTAGATAGAGGGATAAGGGGCTGTAACCAAAATCCCCTATTGGCTGAGAGATCACAAACAGAAGTGAACTCACGGAGAAAGAGAAAACCATGAACCCTTTGTTCGCTTGAACTGGGTGGTGACTCGCTGATAAAGTTGTTCAGATTTTGTTTCTGACCGACTAGATATTTACTGTTCACCAGGTGTCTCCTGGCTTCTGGTTCACAAAGGAACTACTTTCTGCAGCCTTATAAATATATAAATGCGTGCTCCTTGTGAAAGGGTCAAGGGTTAATTTGCCAGGATGACATCACATCCGAAACGAAGTATCTAGACAGGTTCTCAGCCCCTGGCTCACAGTGCCTTGTGTCAACTGGATTAGGCTATGTTGGTCACAAGGTCCCTTTGCCCAGAACATGGCCAGTGTGAGAGCGGTTTGTGCTGGTGTGCGTCTTTTTCTCGCTGCTCTTGTTTGCGTTGCTTTGGTGCAACAAACAGAGTTTGTTCACAAGCAGCCCATAAGCACAGTCAACATGACCTCTATAGACCATGGTGGACCCACTGAAGGTGCCCCCTACCCTGGTTTGGAGGTCTGGGGAAGAGCGAACCCCATTCCAATTGTATTGTTATCTTGTGCTTAAAGCACTTAATTGCCTTTTTCCTGCTTGTATCAAACAGCTCCAAAATGAAAATACTACAGCAGAACTAACAGCCATCACAGCCCTTATCTGTTCCCGTGCTGATTCCAGACAGTCCACCTGGAATCCAAGGTGCTGCTTTGGTATCAATAAGAGCAGAAAGGTCCCCCTCTCTTCCACTGTGCCAATACCAGAAAGTCTCTCTACCAAGTCAGTCTTTTCTTGGGCTTGAGTCAATACTTAGATCATCACTTAGCCCCTTTGATAGATGGTAGTTTTTTCAACCTAGTCTTTTAAATCCACCCCATTTCCCCCAACACACACACACACACACACACACACACACACACACACACACACCAGAGGGTGACTACAGAGAGGGAGGGAGGGAGAAAGAAAGAGGGGGAAAGAGAGATTTTCTTTGTTTTTTACATTTGCCCTCTAACAAGCACGCTGCTGGACCCGGCACTGTACCTTTGTACCCATGAGACTCTTCAGTGTTGGTGATATATAATCATCCAGAGGGTTCCAACACCTTGGCTGCACCCCAGAACAATGCAAACCAGAATCCCTGAGTTTGTTACTTGCTTTTTTTTGATCGCTGTGACTAATGCTTGACGGGAAGCAACCTAGTGGGAAAAGCATTTATTTGGGGTTACAGTTTGAGGGGATTGAGATACCATCCGTCATGACTAAGAGGGCTTAGTGGCATGAGTGAGAGGCATCTGGTCACACTGCCTTCACAGTCAGAATGCAAAGAGCAGACAGGAAGTTATACAACCCCAGTCCCCAACCCAGTGGCCCACTTCCTCTAGCAAGGCTCCACCCCCTAAAGGTTCTGCAACCTTCCCATGCAGTGCCATATCTAAAGACTCAGTGTTCAAACACAAGAACTGGTACCCAACATTCCCCACTCAAGCCTCAACCCAGAGGCGGGGAGCTGGTGTGGAATGTTACTTTGACTATGTTAAGATGTGTTACATTTGTTGCAGTTTATTACTTAACTATTTAAAGGTACATTACATTCCATTTATGCTGCATTTGTCTAACGACGTATCAATATATTACTGTATTACCTTGCCTGTTTAAGGCACCTGATTGGTCTAATAAAAAGCTGAATGGCCAGTAGCTAGGCAACAGAAGGATAGGTGGGGTGGAAGTGGCAGGCAGAAAGAATAGGAGGAGGAGGAATCTAGGTTCAAGAGGGGAGGAAAGAGGAGAGGGACAAGAGAATGATAGAAAAAAGAGGAAGTCTAGGGACAGGCAGGCAGGCAGCTGCCAGACAGACAGACATGGAGTAGGACATACAGAATGAAAAAAGGGTTAAAAAACCCTGAGGCAAAACATAAGTGAAAAGAAATAGGTTAATTTAAGTTATAATAGCTAGTGGGACAAGCATAGGATACGGTCAAGCATTCATAACTAATAATAAGTCTCTGTGTCATAATTTGTGAACTGGCTGGTGGCCCAAGAGAAAGCCTAATACAGGGATCCATGAATTGGTGTTTTCTGATAGCTTTGTTGAATATGTAAGCACTTATTAAAGTAGAAATTGGGAAATTGCGTGTTCTGCAGGTGATATTCCCTCGGGAGATACGACAAACCGTTCTGAATTCTTTTCAAACCTGAAAGGAAAATAACTAAGTCTATACTTTGTATTCTAATTTGAACTAGTAACATAGATAGACAATAAAAGTGAGGCACTGCCTTATATTTTATTGAAAACAGTTCACTTCTGTCTGTTAATTCTACTGGCTACCTTGAATAGATAAAAGTTAGAAAGGCCACATCTTGCCTGCCCAGATATTCAATTGTGATGTCTGAATCAGCCACATTAACAGCACCTGAGCTATGCAAAACCTCAGGGCCCAGCTCAGTCTGGCTTAATAAGAATCTTTATTTCAACAAAGCTCTAGATGGTCTGTATAACAAAATATACACGAGGACTGCAAGCATTCTAATACGCTACCAAGCGATCAACACATGTGAAAGGTTGAGAACAAGCAAGCCGACAGCTCATCGGCTCTGCCCTGCCGTCTACACTTGGCTTCTTGGAGGGAATTTAAGAAACTTGATCTCTTGCAACTGGTAACATTGCTGTGAGGACGAGACAAATTGTTCTCAAGTTTCAAGGGTTCGAATTCTCCACTTGTTCCCCGTAAACAAAAACTGCTTTGTTCCTAATGAAACGACATAGGTACGTTTGTGTTCTTTTAACTGTCTCCTGATGCTTACACATGGCTCCGCTGAAGCAAAGGGGCTAGAGGCCCGCAGCACAGAACATACTCCTGCGTACCATGTGTGTTGACTTCTGACATGGCCGTGACTGCCCAGACACCGAATGGATGGATTTTTGTAATGTAATCAAACGTAACTTAATTTCCTCTCTGTATTTTTGGAAGGGAATAGAAATGTAATCAGAATTCACAGTGAGCTGTATTCCAATCAGAAACTTTTGGCATTGTAGACATAAGAGGACTAGGGTCAGGTTACCGTCATCGGATGGTAACTCAAAACCTAACTCTCTCATGCCTCTCACCTTTATTAGTTAAGAAATCAGTCTATGAGCAATGACCGCCTCGTTTGCGATGGCCAGTAATAGATTTCAAATATCTCAGAGATACAGATGAAATATAAGCTGACCAACGAAAATTATACATTCATATTTGTGCAAGGAGTTAAAGGATTATTTGAAATGTTGATTTTTTTTTCATTTCAAATCTTCACTAGCAAAGCTAATTGTGTAAAATATGTATCAAAGAAATGATGGGTTGCCAAGAAGAAAATGAAAGAGGGGTCAAGTATTTCTTTGTTATTGTCTCTATTTTCCAATCAGCTAATATTCCTCTGCAGGAGTATATTTAAAACCCAATCTGAATGTACAATTCCTGCCT